CCTTAAGAGCAACATCTCTCTTTTTCCTTCGTTCAATTTAAGAATTTCATATGTTTTCATTATTATGATGACAGTAGCCCATGATAGGTTTCTTCAGTTTTTAATATTCTGGGAACTCAAAMATTTCAACGGCTTGTTGTGAAATTGTTTTTTTTTTACTGGCACCAGTCAAGAACATAAAATGTACCGACTGATTGTTTTTGATTGACYGCAGCCAAAAACCAATTTCAGTGTCTAGCTTGCAACTGCCAAGTTCGCAGGATACCGAAAACTGCACTAAGGTCTCAGTCTTATCTGTCTCCGAGAACAATTCCTCTAGGAAATAAATGCAAGGGGTCTATGGCTACTATTTTCATAAACATGGGAACTCGCTAGTTGCGAGCTGCCTACTGAAATTTGGTTTCTTGCTGTCATCAATCAAATCTAATCAGTCACTACCTTTCATATTTTTGATTGACGGCAGTGAAAAACCAAATTTCGAAATTGAAAACTGCAGTAAGGTCTCAGATTGTTGGAAATTAATTTGATTGAAAAAAAACCAGATGTCTGCAATGCAAACACACCAGTTCTATTTAACCTTTCTGTTGATATTCAATTATTGTTTTTTATTTTAGCTTCTTCTTCTGATTGGTGAAGCGTTTGGTGATTTATCAGATGGTGTTAATGGTGCTGTAATACAGATCCGTAATAAGGGTGATAAACTAGCCATATGGACYGACAATGCCAAGGACCAAGAGGGTGCTACACGGATAGGGTAAGGCATTTACCACAGGCAGTTCTTTCAATTTTATTTTAAAGRAAATAAATGACCTTTGTCATAAGAGGCTAATTATACAAATGTTTGAATGCACAGACAAATCTTCAAAGAAAGAATAGGACTTCCACCAAGAGTGCATATAGGATATCAGGTATGATATATGCCAGATGGTTTAGTGATTGACCATTAGAAAATAACTGTTATAAATCTTGCATTCTGATTGGTTGGGAGGGTGTGCTTTATGAGAGCACACAGCACGCACGTGCCCTTTGCATTTTATAAAAGAAAAAAACTTGCTTGCTGTGCTATGAGGAATTATAAAGCACTTGGGGATCGGCAGAACACTCGAGAAGTGTCGAGAAGCACTCTGCTACGCGTGCTTCATGCTTCTCCTAATACTTCTCTCGGGCTGCCAACCCCCTATGCTTTATAACTGCACACAGCATGCACACGTGTTTTCTATTTCTTCTTTAGCAAAACGAAAAAGGAGTTAGATTGTGGGGTTAACTGTATTGGTTCAATGTCAAATTTCAAGAAATAGTTTGYCTATCAACTTTGTCAGAGTTTGTGACAGTCAGGGTTGAACTTTAAGCCAAGTGAAACAAGTGCTTGAGAAAGCAATGAATTGTAAATATTTAGGTTATTAATGTCTTATAGTAAATGACGTAAAAATACATTGAAATTTTTAGGATTTTTTTCTTATTATTTGCTTATCATCTTGCAGGCACACAATGACACTATGAGTAAGACAGGCTCTACAACCAAATCCTTATTCTCATTATAATGCATCAAATAATAGAGTGGTCCATATTTTATGAAGACTAGGAGTTATTCTATTTAATGCTTGACACAGACTAGATCTTGATACCCAGTAAGAGAGTTTACATTCTAAAAGATCTGCACRAAATRTATAATAGATATTACATRTTTGACATATCAGATGAAAGTCATTCCATTCCCTGAATTTATTATAGTAGCATTATTATCATAATATTAATTTATCAGATCGATAAACCCACATTATAATGTGTCCTTGAAGTTTTATACATGTACAAGACTTGGTAGCTCATTGGTTAGAGAATGGCACAGTATTCATCAATTCAAATCCCGTTCAAGACTCGGAATTTTTTCTGAGCATTTTTACTGCTAGGATCAGCTCAATTTGATACATTATTATCATCACCAACTTATCACTTAAACATCATCTGATTCTGTGACCATCATCATCATCATTATCATCATCATCATCACCACCATCATCATCATCATCAGAAGCAGAGGCAGAAAGTGATGAATCATAATGATAGGGTTGACCAAACAATTTTAAGCTTTACTTATTCATGTATTGCATATTAGTCAAATCCAACAAGTGGTCTATCATCAATGCTGCATTCTTATTGRATGAGCTACTACCAGGCTTTAGTTATAGCCTACGGGTAGCGAAAAGTGCCGGCTTTGAAAACCGAAACATTAAATTTAACTTTATTTTAAAACTTGYTTGAATCTAWATATTTGACTGACTAGTTGGATTTGACTAAAACAATTAGTTCTTACACCCACAYGGCCTATGAGTCAATAGTCCAATCGTGACTCATGGTCCATTCTGGTATGAGGAATAATTGCTAAACATCATTTTGCTAAAGATTAGCTTGAAAGTTTTTCATCATTATTCCATTAAAAGCATGACCAATATGGCATGGCTTTGTTGGACTTCTCAATTATAACCTTGCAAAGCATTATGGGAAATAATTGTGTCTTCTTTTTGAATGAAACCTCTCTTGCTGGGTGCAGCATAAGGTCAAAGTGTGTCAGACACAAATCATTTCTGATAAAAAATATTAAGAAAAGTCGAAGAAACTAAAGTAGAAGCCAAATATTGGTMGAGAGCTTTGGTTGCTGGCCTGAACGTCACAAGTAATAATTGAACAGGACTTTAGCTATGAAGTAATCTAAAGAAATGTCAAGGAGATACCAAAGATTCTTGTCCAATGGGATGCWCTAAAACTGAAGATTTCAAGGCATRGRCAAGRCATGGTTATTGATCAGATGACATGCCCAAGAACGAAAGGAAATTCAAGTTATAATGGTATCTGTTGGATATGGCACCAAATTTTGTGCAAACTGTAGCTTGGAATCGTAAGTTTGAAATTAAAAGTAATTTGAAACGACRTTTGGAAGTCCAAACACGCATAGATATTCAAAGTAAGAAAACTATTTTGAAAATTCTTGGTTCTCAGATATTAGCAATTATGCTCAAGTTAGACTAATCAAATTGRTGTATTTTTGCTATTAGCATTCAAAAAACTTGGTAGCTTCCAAAAGAAAACAGAAAAAAGTTATGTCCAAATTTATTTTTGTACATAGCCAAAACTGGCTTTAATCCTGGCCATTATACTCCTTAAGGGAGTGACATCTGAGCCCAATTCATATCGTGGCAATACCTCAAATGCCATTTCCCATTAGAGCATTTTGACCAGGGTTTACCTAACTAGTCTTATTTTGGTTGCTTCTGTATTGATTCAWGTAGTTGTTCACTATAGTTAACATAATTCATATAACATGTGTTATTTTGTAGCACTTTATTTAGTGCATTTAATTAGATTAATAACATGTAATCTAGGGTAGGTGGGTAGGTGGGTGGGTTGTATGAGGGGGTAGTTAGGGGGGAGGGTATCTACAGATTTAATGACATTAGTGTCTTGGCTATTGTTATAGAATGTCCATAAATATGTAGCTGTCACTCAATTTATTTTAATTTTGTCGTGTCAGGACAAGGCATTATGGAATTACTTCAAATGCTAAGTTTGTTAAGACATTCTAATTTTACTGTTTTGTTCATAACACCATACCTCTATACCTTTGGTATAATATTAATATGGATATTCACTCAAACAAAGAGACTTATTCTCCTGGAAAAGATGTGTTCTGAAGTGGGAATACATTGCACTTGAGGAAAAGAGGCCTTTTGCATCTTCAAGTGCTTTCATTTAGATGCTAATATGCCAATCATTTTAACTGCAAGTCTTGTCACTGCTATTGTGAACACCGAAAACAAATTTAGTTAGCAAGTTGTATGAAGTGTCAMTGTACACACCTATGGGCAGGGTGAATGTAAATTTAGGTAAATAGCGTATTTTTAACACCCAATTATCTTTACTCTCAGGCCTTTCAAACTTACAGCCGATGGTTGGGCTAAGTTAGTTCCATAATGCCTTAATGTTACTGATAGTAGCCATACTGAGGTTGGGGAAAACTGGGTCGTGTTGGCACTGCTGTGCATTGTGGGACTGTTTTATGGGACGAAATAGACACCATCTTGGAAATGTATCCCCTAAAACACCCTTAACACAGTTTCCATTCCCCCCTCAACCTTGGAATGGCTAAGCAAGAATCTGGATTTGATTACCTATTCTGATTCCTGTATCAACTTTGATGATATTTGCCCCATGTAATACTAATGTCGATTCATAGATAATTAGATTTAAATACTTTTATCAGCTCATTCAAACCCATCAATAAGCTATCCCACAATCTGCAGATAGGGAARCATTACCCTGCTTGCAGAGGTCTTTTTCTGCCCTCAATTTTGGCTTTACATCCTGCTGCTCAGCCATACAAAGGGGAAGAATAACCTCTGCTCACAGGGTAGGGAAACATGGGCATACCAGCAGCAAACCCCTCCTCGGATCAGACCCATGCAAAACATATCTTATTGGAAGGCTTTACATCCTGCTGCTCAGCCATACAAARGGGAAGAATAACCTTTGCTCACAGGGTAGGGAAACATTGGCATACCAGCAGCAAACCCCTCCTCGGATCAGACCCATGCAAAACATATCTTTTTGGAAGGCTTTACATCCTGCTGCTCAGCCATACAAAGGGGAAGAATAACCTTTGCTCACAGGGTAAGGAAACATTGGCATACCAGCAGCAAACCCCTCCTCTGATCAGACCCATGCAAAACCTATCTTATTAGAAGGCTGTCAGTGATACTCGTTATTTCAAATGAGGTAAATGATCTAAATCTAAATAATTTCATAAAGTCATCGGTACTTTTTATTTTTACCATGGSTAATCAAGGGTTTCATTAAGGATAGGGGATAGGAGAATGCCTCAACTACCATTAACAGTTTAGTTACTTGTAAAATGTTTAGTTAGGTTCAGGTCAAACCTTGAACTTCACATGAGCCGAAACCAATTGAAACAATGGTTCGGCTCATGTAAAGTTTTCCGTCTAGTTCATGACCTTTTCCGAATCCTATCATTTCAAAACTTAATGAGGTAATATTCCATTTCTTGTATKACTCTCWCTGTTGCCATAGAAATAAATTRAATTAAGCTCGCTTTATTTGTGCTTTAGATTTTCAATGTCAATCTTTTGCTCGACGATTGCATGCGACAATAYGTTGCGTGAATTGATTTGAGGATTCTAGATAAGTTACCATTTTGTTCTGCCATAAGTAATACCACTTTATTTCTCCGTTGCTATATTGCTATGGTTTTCAATTATTCCCAAGAGAATGAAATAAAAGAGACGGCGGCCATGTTGRATGATATACAAAAAAAGGCTAATGAACAATCTTTTGTTRAATAGCGCAGCGTAACCGTGACGTCATAAAAACGAAGACAAAGGCGAAATTCGGACAAACAAACTTACAAGTTTASTTTCAGCAGATAATTTTCACAGCCGATCGCGGTTGATCTTAGTTTACATGGGTTATTATTGTAACTTTAAGTAAAAATAATAAAATCGGTTCGTATAATCCTCGTAGCGGTTAAACAGAATGCAATGTTTGTCCGAATCTTTAAGMTATTTTTAGAATCAGTGCGCTGCGCTATTCATCCAACATGGCGGATGTGAAAACCATGCCAAAAATATAAATAACAAATATTTGACTGTTGATCATAATAGTTGGTTTGTTACCATTCATAAAGAATATAAATATGTTGGAAGACACAGTAAAAAATGAACATCATCTAACATGGCCACACCTTGTTTATTTAGAAAGGGCAACGGAGTGACAAAGTGATATTGAGTTTGGAAGCTTTTGAGTTTAAAATTATTTTGCTTCTCATTGCGTTACTCCGGCAAAATGTCACGCAATGTTTTTRATATGTCATCTTGGTTGGGTAACGCAAGAAGAGCACATCACAGCCTATAGAATAATGATGCTTGATAGCTTTATGTTAGATTCAAAGGTAATGAATGATTTAGAAATTTGTACGACATTTCGCTTATTGCTATGTATACAAACGCAAAAGGTGTTGTTCATAAGATTCATTAAAAATGCTTCGTAGTCACGTRTGTTTTTTTTCGKAATTTTCGATTTAMTCGACGAACGAGAACGCTTTTCATATTTTTGCGATCTAGTAGAGGTCCGAGATTTTTACTTCCGTCAGCTTGTCAWATTGTAAGTTCAACGAACACCGAAACCCCTAATACTTTGGTTTATTGAATTARTTTGTATCCGATATTTCATGCAATAAATTAAAAATCAAAAGCAAACAAAAACAAAAATCGAAAAAAGGAGACCTGAGCCAAGTTATCAAATTGACTACAATCAAATCCCATAACCCAAAGTCCTCCATCGCCTCCCTGCTTTATCGTTAGCGCCTGCTCAGCACGCTGAACAAAACCGGAAAMYTCTGTGCTCGAGATTGCAGCTGCAAATGCGCGCGCACATTACGTCATTATTATGYCATAATTATCTTCAGTCAGTATAATTCGTGCAGTTTTGACTTCAGCTTTGAAACGAAGTAGTGGAGWTTCTCATGTGAAGCTGATTTTAGTCTGCACTTTTAAAKATAAATTTGCAGGAATTTTTTTCTTTAAGAAACTGAATCTAATTTTSTAGGAGCAGGTATTTCACTAAATAGTTAAAAAGCTATTCGTAGGCTRCCAGACGGATAGCTCTAATGCAAGCTCAGCAAACTTTTTGAAAAATGAAACTAAGTTAAAGTTAAAGTTAAAATTGAGCCTGTTTCTAAAAGTATGAACCCCAATCGCAATGATAAATGACAACTTTGAGTCGTAAATACACGTCCCTATGACAATAATGGCGGATTATGTGCGATGCTTCCGGCTGGCAATGACACGATATTTTTTATGGGAAAACACAACCAACAAAAGRTAATCTATTTTCAAATATCGTTTTTAAATGTTGGTGCTTATGTTCAAGTTTAAAAACGTTTTCAAGAAAAAGTGGCAAACTTGGAGTCAGATACTGTATCTACTGAGATACTTATTGTCGAACCAATGCCTATACATTTTTCAACATCTGATCAGGAAGATCCACGTGTGCACGGGCCTAGGAGCTGCTTCAGGGCCATCATATAGTTGGCCATCATCACGTATCTTGACTATGTAAATTCTTTTGTTCTTGGGAAATTTGTCATTCCACAAAGATGATCAACAAACAACTCACAATAGATGGATCAACTCAGGAGATTATTTYGATAGAAAATTAGCGTACGTGGATTTTTATAACGATTATTCCTGTCATTTTTGAGGCTAGAAGAATGTCCGTTGAACCATGTTCAGTGTGATCCAGGGCCACTTTTTCTTTTACTAACCACTAATAATAGT